TTACAATACTGTACTGTATTTATCAAAAAAGAAATCAGCGTGTAGGTGGACCTGTGCCACACTAGAGCCGCAGGGCTGAGGGAGGGAAGAACCTGGACTCGGAAGAGCCCCGCCCCCAAGGGCGGGCTGGCACAGATGGCCCGGCCTGGGCGGGCGAGGCTGAGCTGGGGTGTGGGAGCAGCTGCCGCGGGGCGGGGAAACTCGAGAGGAGGTGATGGAAGCCCCGGCCTGGGAGCGCCGCTCAGGTGACAGCCTCCTACCTCCTGCCATCGGACCTTGGCCCCTGCACCAAACCGCCGGCCCCCCGCATGAGGATGAAGGCCCTTCTCCAGGCCAGTCCCGGCGTGTCCCTCCAGCACCCTCTATGGACAAAACCTAACACCACAGCAGTTAGCAAAAGGGAGGCCACGCGAGGGGCCCCTCCAGGGTCAGGGCAGAGCACAGGGCGGGTTTGGAGCTGGGCGGAGGTAGACACAGCTGCACACTGCTCGGTCCATCAAGCCAAAAAGCAACATGCAATCCCGACTTTCCCTTCATCTCTATGGCCAATACATTAGCAAATCAGGTCAGTTTTATCTCCAAAATAATACCTCCAACCACCCTCTCTCTCTCTCTCCATCAAAACAGATCCAACCTGGACCTACAGAAATATAACCTGTTCCTCAACTGGAAACTCAAAACCATGACCTTGGCCATCTTCCCCAAGGTAATCTACACAGTCAGTACAATTCCAGCCAATTGCAACTCATTCAGAAATTCACCTAGAAAAAAAATGTCTAAAATTAATCCAAGTAATTTTGGAAAGGAAGCCAAAAGAGAAGGGACTTGCCCCATCAGAAGTCAAAAGGCACTAGAAAGGGCGCCTGGGTGGCTCAGTCGGTTAAGCGACTGCCTTTGGCTCAGGTCATGATTCTGGAGTCCCGGGATCGAGTCCCACATTGGGCTCCCTGCTCGGCAGGGAGTCTGCTTCTCCCTCTGACCTTCTTCCCTCTCGTGCTGTCTCTCATTCTCTCTCTCTCAAATAAATAAATCTTTTTTTAAAAAAAAGGCACTAGAAAGACATAATAAAACATTACAGCGTTGGTACAGGAATAGACAGGAATGTAGAGCCCAGAAACAAACCTATGCAAGCTTAGAATATGACCAAGTTAGCATTCCAAATAATCGGGGAAATGATTTTTTTTTTGATAAATGGTATTGGAGGAGGGGAGAATAAAGTATATTCTTCCTTCATACTATACACAGAATAAATCCCAAATGATGAAAACTTTGAAATCATAGATATGTGTGCGTGTGTGAGTGTGCATGCTTGAATAAACAACAGAATGGTGCTCTCCCTGTGCCACCACACTAGAAGCCCCGACAGAAATGTTTGACATATGGGACTGTATAAAAATGTCATTCTTCTGTACAGCAAAAATTACCAATAACAAAATAGAAAGAAAAATAACAAATCTGGAAAACATACCACCCCCCAAAAAGTTAAGATATGTAACAAAGACATCCTGGACGCCTGGCTGGCTCAGTCAGTAGAGCGTGTGACTCTTGATCTCAGGATCATGAGTTTGAGCCCCACGTTGGGTGTACAGATTACTTAAAAATAAAATCTTTTTTTCAAGATTTATTTCTTTTGGAGGGGGGAGGGGTAGAGAGAGAGAGAATCTCCAGCAGACTCGCCCCTGAGCGCAGAGCCAACACGGGGCTTGATCTCCCGACCCTGAGATCATGACCTCAGATGAAATCGAAAGTTGGACACTTAACTGACTGAGCCCCCCAGGTGCCCCCAAAATAAAATCTTTTTTAAAAAAAACATAGGGGCACCTGGGTGGCTCGGTCGTTAAGTGTCTGCCTTCGGCTAAGGTCATGATCCCTGGGTCCTGGGATTGAGCCCGGCATCGGGCTCCCTGCTCGGCGGGAAGCCTGCTTCTCCCTCTCCCACTCCCCTTGCTTGTATTCCCTCTCTTGCTGTGTCTCTCTCTGTTAAATAAAATCTTTAAAAAAAAAAGAAAAGAAGAAGAGTATTTGGGGAAACTTATGAAGATTTATTTAGTGGCATTCATAGTACCTGGGATCACAGTCTTAAAGCTGCAGGACCAACCTAAGTATGAGCACTGGTTAAATAAATCACATAACATCATACAGCCCTCATACAGGAAGCACTGTACCTGCTGACCTGGGGCAGGCACAGAACCATGTACGAAAGACAAGCCCATTCTGGGATAGGACAAGCATCAAGGGACATTCTGCTCGTGGCTGTGTGTCTTTCTGCATAGGCTGGCTTTTTCCTTTTGGCAGGATGCACCATGCATATATCTTGGGTAGAAATCAAGCTGTTTCCATGGGAGGAGTGACACAAAGCATTCATTGGCTGAAAAACCATGTCTTATCACTGTCCACTACCCCAGGCATGCAGTCCTGCCCCCCCCCCCACCTCCTCACTTTCCGCCCACATTCTGGGAGCTCCTCCTTCTCTGACTCTGTCTTTTCACAGCTGCTGCTCCACCTGGTGGAGAGAGTCCTGGGGCACAGGGGTGGGCACTGGCCCTGGGACTGCCCGCTCAGGTCCCAATTCCCACTAAAATGCTGTCCCTGGATGGCCAAGCTGCTAGGAGCCCCGAGGAGCCCACAGCTCATCACACCCCACAGATCCCACATCTAGGTGGACAAACCTGGTGTATCGGATCCCAGAGTGGATCTTTTGTCAACACCTCCTCTGCTATACTGCAATATGATTTTCAGTAATAATCATCTAATAATCAGCAATAATTATTGACTCATTCTTTACTTTTAATAAGCAATTAAAATTAGCAATTGTTAAATACTTTTGTTTTTAAAATATTCAAATTCAGTAAGGTATTTCACATATGAAATAGAGTGTGCACCAAACAAACAAAATTATTACAGCTTTTAAATTTTAAACACAAATGAAAACTCCAAACAGTCACAGAATTACAGAAGTGAGAAAACTGAAGTGGTTTCTTCCTTGTTACAACCACTCTGGTGTCACTGTTCATCTCAAATCTAAGGCTTAAAGAGAGAAATACGTGTTATCTCAGGGAGAGGAGACACTAACTGCCCCTTGAGCTCTAAAAACCATTCACAGTGCCCAACCATGAGGCACTTAGCCTCCTAAGAAAACCTTGTAGTGCGTCTGAATTAATGTCCATACAGAATACAATGTTTCCTAAAGGATGGGTGATAAAAACTGCTAATTTGAAACTTACATATACCCTACTAAAATTCAACGGTAACCAAAGTATTGTTTAAAACTTGATCAACAAAAGATTTGTGGAGTAGGAGTATTTGATCTCTGATCTTTAGAATTGCTGGTCTCAACGGAATAATAAAAAGCTGATCAACTTTGGCTGTGAGTATTATTTTTAAATTCTCTACAGACAAGGCACCCTCTACCTGCCTCTCCCTTTCAGCCCTCAGGTCCCCTTGGAGGAACCAGACGTGACTCCCAGCAATCCCCATGTTGGTTCTCATTCCATGCCACACTGGGCTCAGAGCTCCCTTAGCAAAGAACAGTATTCCCACAAACCACTGGACACTCATCCCCTTCCTCTTCCAGGAGCCAGGCAGGCGTGCTACAGAGCTCGGGAGAATGGACATGTTCTTTTAGTTTACTTGATTGTTCTTTTTCCTGTTTCTAAGATAAATAATAAGTTTCTTTATACTTAAATTTTTTCTTCATTAATAATGAAGTTATACAGCTTTAGCTATGTCCTACAGAGTTGGATATGAGGGATCTGATCTACCTTTGCAAGGTTTTACATATAATGTGTAACTTCACATTTGAGTTTCCCTTTGATCCAGTGGTTTTTAAGAGAATTTGTTAATATCTAAGTATTTAAGTTTCTTTTAAAAAATATTTTATTGTTTGCTTAGATTTATTTTGGACTTTGCGGGCACCTGGGAGGCTCAGTCGGTTCAGCATGGGACTCTTGGTTTGGCTCAGGTCATGGTCCCGGGGTGGAGGGATGAAGCCCCACCTCCCACTCCAGGCTCAGGGCAGAGACGGCTTGAGAGTCTCTGCCCCTCCCTCTCCTTCTGCCCCTCCCCCAGCTCACAGTCCTGCGTGCACACGCACGCATGCGCTCTCTCTCTTAGATAAATTAAAATCTTTAAAAAAAAATTATTTTGGACTTTGTGCAAATATGTGTCCTATGTCTCTTTATTCAATTTGTATGTTTGTTTTTAGTTTTGTGGCCCAGATTATTTTTGCAAATATTCCGTGGGCTTAAATAGATGCAAAGTTCTCTCTACACGTAAAAATTAAATTGAACTTTCTGTTTGTACTATTTATTTTCTTTATTCTCATATTTTGTTTGTTTGTTTTTCTGCAGATCCGTCCATTTCTGGAATGGGTGTATTGAAGCCTGGGGAAGGGTGGCACCAACGCTCCGATCCAAGGCCTAGCCTGCAGGGCTCCAGCTAGTGCCGTGGACCCCGAGGACGAAAAGCCGGGTCGGCAGAGGGTGCGGGGAGGGGTGGGCGGAGCCAGGTTGGGGTACGGGGAGGTCAGTCCCCGTTGCCAGGAGGCGGGATCTGGACACAATGGGGTCTGGGGGTTGGGCTGGGCGGGGGCGGGAATCCAGGTACCCGACCTTGCCTTCCCGGCCGGCAGCCACAAAAAAAGGTTAGTGCATCAACTTTGGGCACCGGGTTCCCCACGCCGCCCCCTCACCCCGGTGTCCTTGCCCCATGCCCCTAAAATATCCCGACCCCCAGGACCCCAGGGAACTCCTTTCCCGCAGGATTGAGACCAAACTGGGCGCGCTCACACATCCCTACTGGACTTGTTTTGGGGGCAGGGGATGGGAGATAGGGCCCCCGCCCCCGCGCAGGGCCGGGAAAGCTCGGGTTTGTTTTCCCGGCTCCTGGGATACACGATGGGCCCCGCCCTCGGAGTCGCGAGGAGCTGGAGGGGAGAAGTGCGTTCTGCGGAAGCTGTGGGTGGAGGGGCCGGGGCCGCCACCTTCTGTCCACAGGTACCGCAGGCCGTAAGCGCACCCCACCCTTGCGCGCTATGGGCTCGGACATCTGGGTCGGCCCTTGGCGGCCCCACCGGCCCCGCGGCCCCATCGCAGCGCTCTACAGAGGCCCAGGGCCCAAATACAAGCTGCCACCGAACACCGGTACCGACATCAAACGGGTGTACAAGGAAGGGGCCAGCGGGGTCTGGGGGGACGGCGGGCTGTGTCCGGGGCAGGGAGCGGCGGGGACCCATAGTGGTGCTGGGACGCTCCCGCAGGCTACATTCTGCACGACCCGTCGCGGCCCCGCGCCCCGGCCTTCTCCTTCGGCGCGCGCCTCCCCACGCAGCAGACTTCTTGCGGCCCGGGGCCCGGCCACCTGGTTCCTGCTCGCATGACCGTGCGCGGCCCCGACGGCACCCCCGCCTACTCCATCTACGGCCGCCCCCGCCACGCAGCGCCCCTCCTCACTCCCGGACCCGGTCAGGACCCCTGGGACCCTGGTCTCCCCAACACCGAGCCGCCTCCAGGAAGGCCCACCCGGGAACCCCCCACCTGAGCCCCGAGCCGCCCTCGTGTACCCTACCACTCCAAATTCGGTACCCCGATATGCGGATCTCAAAAGAACTCCAAGCCCCACCGGGCTTTGACAAATCGTGGCTCGGATTCACCCTAACCCCAGGCCCCCAACCTGGGTCCCCACTACGCCCCCAAACCGGTTCCGGCCCACACACCCGGTCCGCCCGCAGGCAGGTACTTCCCTGAGCGAGCTGGGAACGCGACGTACCCCTCTGCGCCTCGGCATACCATCGCTCCCCGAAACTGGGGCATCCCTGCGGAGCAGCAGACCCCAGGTGAGGAAAGGCCAGCTCCAGCACCGTGGACCTTCCCATCCCTGACGGAGAACCACTCTGCAGGCTGCGGCAAGGACACCCTGGCCTGTCCGCGAAGACTAACCCCTAGACCCACCCTTCTCTGGCTCCTCCCCAGGCCCTGGGACCTACAATGTGCCCTCGCTCTTGGGTCCGCGCGTCATCGGTAAAGTCTCGGCCCCAACTTACTCCATCTATGGCCGCAGCGCAGTGGGCAGCTTCTTCGAGGACCTCAGCAAGGTGGGGGAGGGGCTGCCGGGCGGGGTGCAGATAGGGGTCGGAGGGGCCCGCCACAGGGGGTCACGAAGTAAGAGGTGAGGGCCAATGGTCAGCGGGGAATGAAGGCCGGACCCAGCGCCCCTGCCGCCCTCCCACAGACCCCGGGCCCCTGCGCCTACCACGTGGTGAACACTGGGATCTACAAGTCTCGGGCCCCCCAGTTCTCGATGCTGGCGCGGACTTCACTCCCCCAAGACAACACCCTGAATCCGGGACCCGCAGCCTACAACGTGGACCAGGTGGTCTGGGGTCCCGAGGCAAGGGTCAGAGGCGGGGGATGAGGGTCAGGGTCCTGGAGGGGGGGGTCCCGGTGCGGGGCTGGCTGGTCAGCGACGTCACCTGGTCCCGCAGCACCGGAAGCCTCGCGGCTGGAGCTTCGGGATCCGGCACTCGGACTACCTGGCCCGGGTCCTGACCAATGCAGATGATTGACCGGCGGGGAGGGCGCAGCCCCACAGACGTTTGCTTAAAGCTTCCCGAGCCAGCAGCGTGTCCATCCCTCTGTGTTCGCGGCGGGCGCGCGGGGCGGGGAGCGCGCGCGTGGGGATACTCGGGCCCGGGAAGGCACGGAAGTCGCGCGCCCGGGGGCCTTCGTGATTGGTCGGGGCAGAAGAGAGCAGGGTCGTCCCGCCCCCCTGAGGCGGCCATTGGCCCAGAATCCCGCCTGTCTGGGCGGCCCGGCCCATCCGCCGTCCTCCTGCGGCCGCGGGCCAGGCCCGGCGGAACGCGTCTGGAATCTAAAGCAGGACCGGTGAGGGCCACTGTCCGGGACAGGTACAGGCCGGGGTCAAGTTGTGAGCCCGAGAAGTGGAAGCCGCACACGGAGACACGCACACGGACAACACAGACACAGGACAGAGGTCCGGATACGAAAGGGAGAAACCGGATCCCGTCGGGACAAGTGCACCTGCCGCAGAGACACGGACGCAGGGCGGCGGCAGGTTCCAGCTGTCTCGCACCCGGCAGGCCCGGAGCGATGGGGCCACAGGGAGCCAGGGCCCTCCACAGCCCAAGCAACTCCCGGAGCTGATCTGTCTGAACGAGACAGGCCGCCCGAGCTAGGGAGACCTCAGGGGCTTCGTGCGCGCTGTGGACGGGAGCGCGCAGGGCGTGCAAATTGGTGCGCGGGAACTTATGGGCGCCTCTGAGCCCAAGATCAGCCCCAGAGATCGCCTGTCCCCGGGGGCCCCACAGAGCCCCACCCCTGTCAGTGACCCCAGAATAACCCACCGCTGTGGGAGCACCCCCATCGTGTTGGCTACAGCGCCCTATCCCGTGCCTCGGGGCCATGCTAACGGCCATGCCACTGCAAGGCATGGGCCTGGAGAAGACAGTGGCGCTGACCCAGGCCCTGGCCAAGTCTGGGCAGCAGCTCACAGACAACTATTGCACAGGGGGAGTGGGTGACAAGGTCAGCCCGGTCCCCTTACCTGCCCTGGCTCCCTGTGGACCGCAAGGTTAGAAGATGCCTCCTCTCCAGACCTTAAAGGGGTTAGCAACCCAAAGCCAGTTTCTAATTTCAAGCCTGGCCTAGACGGAGTCCCCAAAGGCAGACCCAGGCTTCTCACCCCCAGGACAGAACTTAGGTGCCCCCCATCAGCCCCCATAACAGGACCAAGTTATCCAGCCCCTTGGGTACCCCAGTCAGGACTCCCAAGGGAAGAACTGGGTATTCCTCTCCTTGGTTCCCCAGACTTGAGCCCTCAGGATAGTCCTCCTCATCACTCCCCATATCAAATCAGGACAATTTCTTTTCCATTCCCTCTCCACCAGCGGCACATCCACTACAACTGCTTAGAACTCCAGCTGAAGTCCTAACCAGGGAAAGTAAGGGGGGTAGCTGTGCAGTGCACTCAGCCCCCCTGCCAGCAGGTACCAATGATCAAGAGATGGGGTCTGGAGTAAGGAGGGAGGGGCACAACTTGGATAAACTGGAGTCTATTTCTCTATTCACTGTCATCCAGAGCTCAGGTGGGCTGACTGCTCACTGATCTAGGTTATTGATAGTAATATTGGCCAGAATCTCTGAAGAATCACTGATAGGTCATTCATCAGGGTTGGATATTGATCAAAGTTATTTATGGGTCATTGATGGTCATTGAACTTCTGTCTTCAGAGAAACTTCGATTGGAGTCATTAATAGGGACTTGATCAAAATCACTGTTGCGTCTCTAATCAATCATTAATGGGCCATAGGACATTGGTCAATATCCCTGATGGGTCAGACCAGTCATTAATGAGGACTTATCAGAACTGTTCATAAATCTGTGGTCATAGTCTTGGACACTCATCATGGTTGATGAGTGTCAGTGCAGGGGTCACTGAAGGTCACTGGGAGTCCTGATGCAGGGGAGTTTGGCCAGATGTAGGGGCTGCTGGAGGGAGTGGGCTGCTGTCCTGTGGATCAGGGCAGGAGGCTAGTTCCTGTGGATGGACTCCTGTATGAAGCCAGAGGTGTCAGCCACTGTTAACAGCCTCCTAGTCATCACAGGTAACCTGACCCCAGACTCTGGGTCTACCTCCTGCGTATTAAAGACGCCTGACCTCTGACCGCACAAAGTCCAGATCCCCATCAGGGGACCATGGGACCTCCCCCCAAAACAGACAATCTGGACCAACCCCAGGGTCAGTGTCCCCTCATCACAAGATGCCTGACCACTGGGGTGCCTGGCTGGCTCAGTTGATAGAGCATGCAACCCTTGAGGCCAGCGTCGTGATTTCAAGCCCCACCTAGGGTGTAGAGATTATTTAAAAAACAAAACAAGATGCCTGACCACCAACTCAAAAGGGTGACCTGACTGATGCCCCCTCCCCCATAGGGAACTTGGCCTCAATGTTCAGGGTCCTTAACCTTTCATGACTGACCCAAGAGTCAGCATTCCCCACATCCCCTAGGAAGCTCCAGGCTCCTTATCACCTCCAGCCCCCTCTGCCTCCCCCCACAGCCTTCATCCTCGGTCAGAAAATGGTGGAGAGGGGCGCCTGGGTGGCTCAGTTGTTAGGCGTCTGCCTTCGGCTGGGGTCGTGATTCTGAGGTCCTGGGATCGAGCCCCACACTGGGCTCCCTTGCTCCACGGGAAGCCTGCTTCTCCCTCTCCCACTCCCCCTGCTTGTTTTCCCTCTCTCGCTGTCTCTTTCCCTGTCAAATGGATGGAAAAAAAAAAAAAAAGCTGGTGGAGAGCCCATCCGCTCTGGTGGTGGACTTGAAGTTTGGAGGGGCAAGTATTCCCTAGCCATGCCCAGGAGCTGGCTAGAGCACTGGTGAGCACCTGTGCCTGCTGGACCCTGTGTGGCCTCTGTCTGGGTGGGTCTCCTAGTGTGAGCTCAGTCTCCCCTTCCTAACTCTGGTAGTTTGGTCCCATAGCCTCTTGGGTGCTGGAAGAATGCTCAGCCCCGGGGCTGCTTCGAGTGGATGCTCGGGCGCAGAGCCTGGACCTGGGCCTGGACTGAGAGCTATGCTCCGGGACCCTAGCGCCCGGGAGCAAGAGGAGTTCCACGCGCCCGTGGACAGTGGGCGCCGGCAGCCCTCCGTCCCTCCCCACCAAACCCGGCCGCTTCCCTTCTCTGAGTTCCTATCTCTTTTCCTTCCCCGAGCCCTGGCCCTGGCCACTCTCCTTCCTGAGTCCCAGATTCTCATCCGCGGCCCCAGGTCCTCCCGCCCTCCCCCCGGGACCCCTTTGTCCCCCACCGCGGCGCCTCGGGCCGGCTCCGCGGAGCTCGTCCGGGGTCAGCGGCGCGGGGAATCGGGGGATCGGCTCCGGCGGCGGTGGGCTCGAGGATGCGCCGCGGCGAGCGCCGATCCCCGCCCCTCCTCGCGCCCGGTGGCCTTTAGGAGACGTCGTGCCCTCGGACCGCGCGCCCTGCGCGGACCGACACACAGCAGTAAGGCCGGAGGGCGCGAAGCCGGGTCCGCGCCTGGCGCGCGGGCGGTTGGCGGACGGCTGAGAGCGAGCGAGCCCCAAGGCTTACGAGAGAGGTGCGGCAGCCGCCCAAGGGAGCAGGGAGGGGCGGGGCCAGAGAGGAAGCCCCGCCTCGCCCTGCACTTGGCCTCAGGCGGCGACGGACAGCTTTTGCGCACGCGCGTGGGGGCAGGGGGCGGGAAGAAGAGGGGCGCCTCACGCCTGCATGCGCATGCCCCTGCGCCTGCGCGACGCCCTTGACGCATGCGCGCTGGTGTCAAGCGTGCCGGTAGCGCAGAACCCTGGCGACCCCGACCGTGCATCGTGGTTGAGCCCGCCGCGGCGACTAGCTCGCAGAGACCGGGGCTGTCCCCTAACTCGCGATACTGACGCCGGTCCCGGAGAGCCTGGGTCGTGCCCGCTGCGTGGCCCCCGCCGGTGTCCCGCTTTCTGACCTTACCGCTGGGCAGAGAGCTGCGGGTCCCGGAGGGCGCCCTGGAAGTGGGGGCTCCCAGGAGAGAGGGGCCCAGGAAGTATCCACAGGCCGCCTTCGCTTGCCAGGCACATCCCGTGCACAGCTTAGAGGGCGTATGTAAAGGAGGAAGCTGGCGTGGAGAGGCTTTGGGACGTGCCGAAGGTCATCGAGCCCCGAGCGCAAGCCACCGGACGTGGCGGAGACCAGACGTGTAGGAATCCCCGGGAGGGTCTTTTCAGCAGCCGAACAGGTGAGGGCGAGTCCTGGGGCTCCTGCGAGAAAGGCAGGGAGGACACCGAATTCGGTGTCGGAATCCCGGATGTGAAGAGGGTGGGTTTGTGCCAAGTCGAGACCTCGCTTCTCTCCCGGGGTGAGAGCACCAGGAAAGCTCGACGTAGAATGGGCGCCCTGTGGGCGAAATGGTGTGGGCGCACAGGGTTGCTGCTGAGCGCGGGGTGGGAAGGCCGCAGAAGGGCCCGAGGAGTCCATCCTTGGGGGGTGAAACCAGACTCACCCGCCTCCAAAAGTGGTTTATTGCAAACAGATACACATGCTCAGGAACTCAGGCAAGGCATGCACTTGGAATGCTTTCAGTCAGCTAAGATCGTGAGGTGCAGGAGTGCTTCCCAGGCCACACAGAGTTGCAGGCGCAGGACCGAGGGCCAGGGTGGGAGGACAGGCTAACAGGCATGGGCACTGGGGGGACACCTAAGCTGGAGCTGAGCTTCCATCGGTGAAGCACTTCTGTGCTTTCCAGAGCACTAAGGGAGCAGTTGTGGTGAGCCTGAGTATGGGCTTGGTCCTTTAGATGGTGTCAAGTCTCCCCAGAGCCATGAGGGTTGACCCATGAGGCTGAGGCCACTACAGGCCCCTGACACCTGTGCTCTCTTCCAGGAGCATTAGGCCCATGCTGCTGCTGGTTTGGACTCCCAAGGCTTGGCATAGGCTCTCTCCTCTCAAGCCCCCAGCTCTCCTTTGGACCCCAGGAGGTGAGGCCCTACACGTGAGGTACCGGCTCATGTCAAGGCAGGGCCCTGGAGAGGCAAGCCGGCAGAGCCAGCCCCAGGGCCCTGGGTTTCGAACCAGGCTATTGATCACTGCTTTGTTTGGGGCTGGGCTGGGCGGGGCCTGGCTGGCTGCAAGGGCTGAGAAGGAGCAGCGGCGGCAGCAACAGCGGACAGAGGCCCTGCGCCAGGCAGCCGTGGGCCAGGGTGACTTCAACCTGCTGGACCACCGGGGACAGGCTCGCTGCAAAGCTGACTTCCGGGGTCAGTGGGTCCTGATGTACTTTGGATTCACTCACTGCCCCGACATCTGCCCGGATGAGCTGGAGAAGCTGGTGCAGGTGGTACAGAAGCTGGAGGCTGAGCCTGGCCTGCCCCCAGTGCAGCCTATCTTCATTACTGTGGACCCCGAACGGGACACCATCGCAGCCATGGCCCGCTACGTACAGGACTTCCACCCACGGTTGCTGGGCCTGACAGGTTCTGCTGAGCAGGTAGCCCAGGTGAGCCGCAGCTACCGCGTATACTACAGCGCTGGCCCTAAGGATGAGGACCAGGATTACATTGTGGATCACTCCATCGCCATCTACCTGCTCAGCCCTGACGGCCTCTTCACAGACTACTACGGCCGGGCCAAATCAGCACAGCAGATTGCGGACAGCGTGAGGCGCCACATGGCTGCCTTCCGCAGCGTCCTGGGCTGAATCAAGTCATTAAAGAGGGTGTGATCAAACTGTGTGCCTGTCCTCCGTCCCAATAGCCCCAGAAGGCCAAGGCAGGAAAGGGCTCAGGACCTGGTCACTTGCCGAGGGCGTAGGGCATAGGCAGCCCTTTCTCTGCACAGAGCAGGAGTTTAATTTTTTTAAGGGTTAGGTGGTATAGCAACACCATTTTATTGGGCTGGGCCAGCCAGGAAACAAGGGTAGAGTGAGCAGATGCACGCCCAGCACCCATGAGGGATGGACCTCCAGAGCCCACCCCTCAGCCTCAATGCTCCCCAAATCAGGGCTGGGCCATGGAGGGGGCAGCATAGGTCTGGAAGCGCTTGTGGGCCCGCTGGTGCGTGAGTAGTCTCAGGGACATGGTGTCCACGGCCGCCTCCAGCCCCGGCTGCTGGGTGATCTCCACGGTGTAGTCGTTGGCCTGTAGGGAGGTGGTGTCAGCAGAGTCGGGGACCACTTCCCTCCCAGGCTCCCCAGGCCACTCACCAGCTGCAGGGACGCCAGCATGGAACGACACACCTCGAAGGCAGGTTGGCCAGCAACTAGCTCCGCAAAGGGACACCACTGGTTGAGCTGGCTGAACCTTGAGACTACCTGGTCCCCGTAAGTATGGATGTCAAAGGGCACATGCTGTTCCTGCAAGGAGGAGGGGCAAGATCCTGGGGCAAAATCAAGGCAGGCAGCAGGGGAGTCCCTACTTCTCAGCCAGAGCTTGGCCCAACCCCTCACCTGCTCTTGGAGCAGGGGCTGGATAGTGTCCTCCCAGTCTCTGATGCGCTGGCTCAGCTCTGTCTCCTGGACGAACTTCTGAGAGGTGGCGATGAAGAGCTCCTAGGGGAGGACCAGGGAGCTGCCACCTTCTCTGCAGGGGCCCCTCGCCCAGCAGCCCACCTGCTCTAACTCAGACTTACCACATTCCTTCGGACCAGCTCCTCATAGCTCAGGGACACTGGCATGGCCTCTGCTTCTGGAAAAGGGGCAACTATGAGCTGCTGTGGCCACGGGCCACACCCTTTCCTCCCTCCCCTGTCCTCAGAGGCCCCTAGTGGCCCCCTGGCCAGCAGCCCCCTCTCAGACCTACCCAGGTCTGCAGCTTCCCCAGGCTTTGCCTCCTGAGGCTCTGCATACTCCTCAGGCTCTAGAAAGTCATCTGCTGGTAGACAGAGAAGACCCAGCAGGAAACAGGTTTGCTGACAGTGGATGCTGAACCCCCCACCCTGGCCCATCCCAGTAGGCTCCCACCTGCTGTCCCCAGATCCTCCAGGGAGTCCTCCAGCTGGTCCTCCACAGGCCACAGCCCTTCCTCAGGCCTCGGCAGCCACCGCTCGGCCATCTGTGCAAACAGCATCTATGAGGGGCACTGCTGTCCCCACTAGGGGCCATGTGGGGTCCAGACAGTGGCCAGTACTTACCTCCCGCCTCTGCAGCTTCCGGAGAGTCTCCAATTGCTCCTTCACATGCTTCCAGTACAGGACCTCCATGTCTGCATATGAAAGCCTTGTGAGAGGGGCTCCCATGTCCTGCACAGGCACCCCCAGTCCACCTAGAGCCTTGGGCACCCCCAGGTCAAGGGGAGGCAGACAGAATATGGCACAGCACCACTGTCCCTCAAGAGAGTGTACACACAACTCTGACCTCACCTGCAAAGGACGGGCCCTTTCGCCGGGGCCTCCTGCTGTCAGCGTGGTCAGCAACTTCAAGAGAATTTGGTCAGCAGGAACCAAGCCAAGTCCCTGTAGGCTATACCTGGACCCTCCTGCCCTGGCCCAGCCCCACCACCACTCACAGGCAGCCAGGTACCACTGGTGGAAGTCCTGCAGCTTGGTGGCACCCTTCCTCTTGCGCTTCTGTCCTGGAACCTCCTCCACGCAGGGGGGCACGGAGTAAGGCCTACCTGGGGGCAAACGACTATGTCTCCGAGCACAACTTCGGGCCCTGGGGCAGGTTATGGCACCCACACGCTCCAGGAGCAACTGCACAAGGGAGCACAGCCCCACCAGGCTCCTAACCGGTATGGAGCCCACCCTCATCAACCACCAGTGCTCCAGAGAACCCATCCACAGATGCCCAAGTGAAGGTGACCCTCCACCCAATTACCTTTCTTGAAGGGCTTAGAGTCCAGGGAGTCAAAGGGGTCCAGGCTCTGCCAGGGGTCCGGAGTCTCCTGAGCAGAGAGCACAAGCAGACACTGTGGCGGGGGGAGCAGGGGATGTGCACCCTCCCTCAAAAGCCCAGACACTGAGTGCAGGGACTGCTGGAGGATCCAGGACCAAGGGTGACACACCAGGGAGGGAGGTGCCCCAGAGCGGGAGAAGAGGTGACTTAATTTCTGCAGAAAGAAGATTCCTTGCAAAAGAAAGCCAGCACAAAGGGCCTCAGGCTAGGAGCCCAGGCATCCAAGGCGAAAGCTAGCAGGAGTGAGGGGTGGGCAGTGGGGCTCTGGCAGGGGGTCTTAGCCCAACTGCCCCTCACCTTCATCAGGGGCACTGGCTCCTCTCGCTCCCGTAGCACGCACCGACTAGGCTGGGCAGCACCCTGCAAAGAAACAGCCCCAAGGGGGCACCTGGGTGGCTCAGTTGGTTAAGCGACTGCCTTCAGCTCAGGTCATGATCCTGGAGTCCCGGGATCGAGTCCTGCATTGGGCTCCCTGCTCAGCAGGGAGTCTGCTTCTCCCTCTGACCCTCCCCCCCTCATGTGCTCTCTCTCTCTCTCATATAAACAAATAAAATCTTTAAAAAAAAAAAAAGAAAGAAAGAAACAGCCCCAGGATCCCTCTCTCCTCCCCCACCACCCAAGGCACAGGCAGCCCAGCAGCTGTGCTCTGGGGTCAGATGTCAAAAACCCCGCAGGGACCCTCTGAGGGCAAACAAAAACTAGGAAAAATTTTAGGAGAACATACAAACTAGTAAACTGGTGGTCATGGGGTGCTTTTTTTTTTTTCTTTAAAATATACCAAATAATAATATGATAAACATCATGCATCTACCAATCAAAATTAACAAATGATAACATTTTTCCTATGTGCATCAGAGTTTTCTCAGCTCCAGGCTGAAACACAAAGCTGACCCTTGGGGGTGGAGGAAGCAGCCAAAGTTTCCAAAGCCCCACCCCCTCCGGCCAGCCTGACCTCAGAAGAGTCAGCTTTGGAAACCAGCTGCCATCCTAGGTGGTAGCCAACACCACAGGGCTCAGACCCTTGAACCCCAGCTCCGTTCTGAGGAGCCACAGCTGCTCTGCTCAGAAAGAGGAAACCCTAAAGGGCTGGGTGCAAAGCCAGGTCCAAGGCTATCTGGAGGGTGCACCCACAACTCTGGTGTGCAAGGACCAGAGGGAAGGAACAGAGACCTACAGGCCTGGGGGCAAAGCCCATGTACGGGTGGGGAAGCTTGCCCGGCTGACAGCTCGAGCTTTGCAGGCCTCAGTCAGGGTCCCACCTGCTGCGGGCTCCTGGGTTCCTGGGGTTCCTGAGGGCCCTCGGGGGCTGTGGCTTCAGGGAGCTCTGCTGCCCCCTCTGCATCATCCTCACTGCCACCTCCAGGCATTGGGCCTTCTGGAGAGGCACCTGAGCAGGGGAGTAAGAAACCAGACAGCAGGTGGGAGGCTGCCCTTGACCAACACCCAGGAGAACCTTCGAGGCCCTTCCTTCACTCAGCCTCATTCATCAGACCCAGAGAAAGCAGCAGGGCATTTCACACTCTTCTCGTCATGCCACTCTGTTTTTTTGGCTCCTTTTTAGCAGTTTTCCTCCTGAAATGCTACCATCCATGCTTGCCCAGAGAGGAGGAGTAGGTCCAACCCTCACAGGCCCAAGAATGGTCAGAGGGCAGTCATGAGACCAAGACAGCACAGTGGGCCAAGGTGGGGAGGGAGGCCGAGGCCTGGGCACAAAGAAGCCAGGCTTCCTTGCCCCCCACACCTCATCCCTGGGGTAGCTGAGCACAGCCCCGTGCAGAGCCCCATCCCCCGACCTCCACCCCCACCTGCACCCTGCAAGTCCACCACGGCCTCTCTTCTCACCTGGCTCCTGGGAGACGTTGACCACAGGGACAGGACTGCACACAGAGACTTCCATTGGCTGCTCCTCAGCCCTCTCAGGCTCTGGGAAAGATAAGAGATTGGACAGGGTCAGCCCTCCCCCTCCCCCAAGGGGCCCCTCCCAGGGGCTGGGCAGGGAGAGTCGAGATCTGGCACAGGACTCAGGCACCCTGGGTTGAGCCAGCAATGGGCAAAGAGGGAGCAAAGGGAAAGTGAAGACCCATCTTCAGTGCAGGTGCCTGGGGAAGGGGGTGCCAGAACTGGCGTTCTGGCAGGCACAGGGGACCCTTCCTTCCTGAGCTCCCCACATCCAAGCCCTCACCCTTCTGGTTCCTCGGCATCAGTGTCTCCATGGGGGAGATGCCCACTGGCTCCAACATGAAGGCTCCTCTGGGGTGGGGGGTACACGTATTCATCCTAAAATCCTTCCGGCTGGCCAGGACCTCCCCCTGACAGCTATGCGGGCAAAAACACAGCCACTGCAGAGATCCTTCCCAAGCAGCCCTCTCCCCTCATCTGACTCCCCTCAGCCAGGCTCAGGCCGGTACCTGTACAGGGGGCTGGCATTCTTCTCCATCTCATCAGGGGCCACAAGGGCCATGGGCAGAAGAGGGACGATGAGGACCTCCTGCATGGAGGCCAAGAGTGGGTGAGCCACAGGTCCCGCGGGCCCCAGGTGGGGAACCCCTATGGGATGACACCTTCCAACACCCCCTTCAGCTAAACGCAGCCCCTACAGACAGAGGGGCACTCACACGGGGGGGCAGGTCGTTCCTCAGATCCACATTAGCACGGGAGTCAGGGAGGTCATCCAACGACAGGAACTGTGGGGAGACAGAGCTCAGGAGCAGCGCCTGGCACATGCACAGTGGGCAGTGGCCACACACCCAAGAAATCTCACCTGGTCCTCCACCTCCTGGGGAGCTGTGGAGCTGGTGTCCCCATTGGCCCCATTTTCCCGCACTGAGGAGAGCTGCTTGGCCCGCCTGAGAGAGAATCAACACATGGATATCTGGGAGGCTGCCAGGGCTTCCCCCAAGCTGCAGGCAGGGCAGACACACAGGCCACCACCTCCTGGCTCAGACCAGTACTCACTTCTTGCCAGAGATGAAATCAAGAGCCTGGTAGACCAGTGAGTAGAGGTATTCCACCTGGTGACCAGAAGCAGACAGTGAGGAGTGGAAAGAAAAGTCTACCCCAGATGCTCTATGGCCCTCCCCAGAGCCCTCGCTGTGCACACAGAGACAAACCCATACGTGGAGAAGCCCACTGTCCTCTCCAAAACTTCCAGCACAAGTTCTGCCAATGTAGCTGCCAGAAAGACTTCTCCAGTCCAACTAGCATGTCTCATCAGTTGGGGTCCTCTCCTCTTCCTCTGTCCCCAGGCAGTGCTGCTTGCCTGCAGGCCCTGCACACCGGCCTGTGTGCGGCCCACTGGCCCATCTCCGTGCTGCTCCCGCCCAGAACCCATAGCTCGCTCCTTTCCCTCCTGCAGGTGTGGGCTACCAGTGCCCCACCTCCGGGACCCCACCATTATGGTGAGGCTCGGGATTTCTGAGATGCTGACCAGCAGGATGTGCACATGGGCCACCTCTGGGCCATTCCTTCTGGAGTAACGGTGCCCAAGAGCACATGCAACTCTCTCTTCTTGGTCCTTTTTTTTTTTTTTCCACACAACAGATGTTTATTGCACTTCTTTTATGTATGGGGCTTGGCGCTAGACACTGGACACAGTGGTGAGCACAACGGAATGGGCCCCGTTTATCAGGATTAATAAACGTTAACTTTTTTAAGCATCTGCCACATATACAGGACTGTGTTCATGCTTCATCCCATCTGGTCTGTCTGAAGTAGGTATCACTGCTGTTCCCATTTCATAGGAGAATAAACTGAGAGAGATAAAGTCGCCTGGATCAGGGGTAGGTCCAGGATTTGCACCCATGGACGCGTGAATCTCAGGCTGCATGACCTAATCCGCAACCACTAGCTACATGTGGCTTTACCAATTTAAATTTAAGTTAACGAAGTTAGTAAAACTCAAAATTTCTCTGTCACACTAGCCACATTTCAAGGGCTTGGTGGCCACATGTAACTAGTACTTACCATCTTTGATGGCCCAGATTACAGAACGACTGCATCATTTCAGAAAGTCCTGCTGGACACTGATGCCCCACAGCTTCCAGACTTTATTTTAACGTGTCTTTGCACTTGCTTTACCACACACCCACGCATCTATCTGTCACCTCACATCTCGTGCGAGGTTAGCTGCAAGCATTCCTTCTTAGGACAAACGCAGAACATAGGAATCTGATTTAATGGGATTATCTAGGACAAAAACCAACAAGATCTTAAACCGTCTTAATAACTTCTGCTGCCCAGAGATAAATCCACTGTGTCCTATGCAAGTTAAGCCTGAATGTAGATCGCTCACCTTGCCCTAGTTGGGACCCCATTATACACTTCCAAAGGCTTACCTCCTGTGCACCTTTTCTCCTTCCCCCACCCTCTAACCTGCCAATTCTGGATCAGCGCTGTCACCCACTTTCCCTTGCTCCTCCACTAGGGGATGGCTAAGCAAGGCTGGAGGAAACTCACACAAAGAGCAAGACGCACGGAGTCCCCGTCAGACCGCCCGTGCTGTCAGTCATGTTTTGCGTTCCCCTCAGGAGTATTCTGAACTTTCACCAAATTTCACTCTCCAAATTTCCTACCCAGAAGCGGACTCTCAGCAACTGACTTTTATTCTCCGTTATGAAAACTGGGGTCCTAGGCAGGAACTCTCCAAGTCCCTGTGTCCAACTTCTCTACGTCAATACTGACTTCTCCCTCCAGACTCCCGAGATGAGGCCCAGCAACCCACGGCCCTGACCCACTCCTCGACTATCTCTACTGAGGTCTTGCTTCATCTGCCGCCCCACCTGCCCTTTCATCCTTCAGCTCCGTGGTGTTCAACCCTGGCTGTCACTAAGATGTTTTAAGAAATCCTGATACCTGCCCACTGTCCGGTTCTGATCTCACTAGGCCAGGCAGGGGCTAGCTGGGCATGAGATGGATTACAGCTGCTTTACTTACTGCCATCTTTGTCCCCCTCCCTATAACCTGTCCCATAAGGGGTCATGTGGTGCCTCCTTGCCTCTCCCCACCCCAGTCTCACCCTCCTCTCACTAAAACCCCTGGTGACCTTCTAATTACAGACCCACTAGACGCTTGAAAACCTTTCCTGTGTGGGTCAGTTCACTAAATTCAACAATTTTGGTCTTTTTTTCTTCCCCTTTAAAAGTCTCTACATCTCTGACTTCTGAACATTTTTTTTATTTGCCTTTCTCTGACTTTTCCTTCTGGTGGACACTTCCTAAATATTGGTTTTTCTCAAGATGTTCCCTTCAGGGCGCCTGGGTGGCTCAGATGGTTAAGCGTCTGCCTTTGGCTCAGGTCATGATCCCAGCGTCCTGGGATCGAGTCCCGCATAGGGCTCCCTGCTCCGCGGGAGCCTGCTTCCCCCTCTGCCTCTCTCTCTCTCTCTCATGAATAAATAAAAAATTAAAAAAAAAAAAAAAAAAAAACAAGATGTTCCCTTCATTCTGCTTTTCCTCTTACTCTACAACACAGTTTCTGGGCTTTGGGACTACTGACATTTAGACTGGATAATTCTTTGTTGCGTGGGGCTCTCCTGTACACTGTTGGATGTTTAGCATTAGCAGCAGGCCCTGCAATTATAAATCCAAGTTGGTTCTTCAATTATAATTGTTCCATTATAAATCCAAGCCGTATTACAAGGTGGTGAGGAAGAGGGGAGACAGGAGGCACCAGCGAGGCAGCGAACAGACAGGGGTGAGCCTGACACCTGCCCCAGGAGAGTGAACCTCAGTCCCATTAGGCCAGCAGCCAGGCGGTGCCCACCTTCTTACTGTAGACACAGGCAGACCCCTGGATCAACAGCGCTGCCTCAATGAAGTTCATTGTGGTTTTCCCCTCATCAAAAGAAATGCAGATCTGGTCCAGCTGCAAGACACAACACCAGGGCATTGGGAAGCCAAAATCTGTGTACACTTCTCCCCACAGAGCCCACCCAGCACCCAGCCTGCAGTGCCTGCTCATCACAAGGCACCCCTCGAGCACTGACTCTGCTCGGGGCTCTCTGTTTTTGTTTTTTTTTTTTTTAATTTTTGGAGGGTAGACGCAGTGTTCTGGAAAAGGAGGCCCCTAGAGTCTATCAGCCACAAACGGCTAGAGCTGCATAGCAGTTCCCTTCTGGAGGCGCTCCAATGAGCCCATCCAAGTCAAGGCCAACTTGGATAGAATCAGGCAGGAAGACCCCTCACCCTGAGAGGAGGAAAGGGGAACCTCAGCAGTGGGGAGGACAGACACAAATCGCTGGGGTCTAAATCCTTTGAGCAGAAACTAAGGAAACACTTCCAAATGAAATGAGTCCTCCTCCTTCCTCTGCAAGCCCGGACCCCCCCCACCCCCGCAAGATTCCCCTGAGCCCCAGCTCCTATCACCTCTTAAGTGTCAGTGGTCCACAGACCATATGCCAACAATTCCCAAACCCATCTACAGCACTGTGCTCTCTTACACTGCAGGACTGCACTTAGAGCCACCCCAAGACAGCTAAATGTCCCCAAGCTTTTTATCTCCAGACTTAACCCAGGGGGTCCCCACAACCTGCCCCCTCTGCTGCACCAATCTCAGCAGACAGCACTCTGAAGCCCCAACATGTTTTTTCAAGCTCTTTGCCTTTGCTTTCCATCTGCCCAGAATGCCCGCTCCCAGCTGTCCTGGTGTGAACGCTCCTGCAGTGTGGCCCACATGCCTGGGGCTTCTCACTGCCTTGTTAGGGCCAATTCCAGCCTCTACCTCAGGGCCTGAAGCTGGTGTCCAATAAATGTTTGATGAACAAACGAAATGCTGGCATCAGGGCTAAGCCTGAAAGACAGACACTCCCCAGGCAGATGAAGGGTTAGGGTTAGGAAGAGCAACCACTCCCACAAAGGCAGTTAGCAGACCCGGGATTCAACTATTTAGGAAAATTAGTATTATGCAAACATGTCCAAAGCACAGGGTGTGTTGGGGAGCAAGGTTAGACATTAGGCACTATGAGGGCCCAAAGAAGGGGCGGTCTGGGGGGACACCACCAAGAGGCCAACTCTATTAATTCCTGAAGGACAGAGGAAGTTTTTCAGGTCAGTGGAGGAGCATGACAGTCTGAGAGAGTGCAGAGCATTCCGGAAGTAAGTGAAGGGCTTTCCCTGAAAGGACAGGATATGAAGGAGAGGGCAGCTGAGTCACCCAGGCCCTGAGCTGCAGAGGTGGCCCTTTCTTCTCAGCCTAGGCTGGCTCACCCACTCGTAGGGCCTCACACTCCACCTGCCTTCAAACGACTCCTAAATGCATGCTCCAGGTTGGACCTCCTGTCTAAGCCTAAAACCCGTATGTCCAACTGCCTTCTTCAAACACCATTTGGATGTCTTAACCAAAATTCATACCGGACAGGTCCACACTGAACCCGATATCCCCCCAACCACCCATCCACAAACCTGCAAGTCTTAGCTCCTTCCTGTCTTCTCTCGCTCCCCCCATTCAGTCCCTGCCACGTTCCCTGCCATTTCCATGCTCCATGCTAACCTGTCTGCTCTTCTCCACACTGATCATCATTCTTGCTCAGCCAGCCCCACCTCTTGCCTAGACCTTGACACTAACTGGGTTCTTCCTGCCCTTCACTCCCCCCCAGCCTCCTCTTCACAAGCAGGTGCTTCTCTGAAGACACAAGGCAGGTTACATCACTCCACTCAGAACCCTAATGGCTTTCTGCCACTCTTACGAAAAAAACCCAAATCCTAAAGAGAGCCTCGCATGCTAACCAGCTTCCCTCTCCAGTTGCCCACCCTCCCATACTCGCTGTATAGCGGTCACAAGGGACTCCCTCTCCAGGTCCCCCATGGAGCCAAGCACTTTCCCACCTCAGAACCTTGGAACATTCTTCAGCTCACTTGACTAGCCAACTCCTTTCACCCAAAGTTAGGTCCCCCAGGTAAACTCTTCTTGGAGTCCTCAACTTTTCTTCTGAATCTCTCGTCAGTTTGTTTTTACACAAAGACAGAGTGAGGCGGGTGGCCTCTGCTCTGCCACTTATTAGCTAGGACTCTGAGCCCATCTCTTACCCTCTCTGTAGAACTAATACCTGTTCCAACAACTCTGAGTGGTTACTTCCTTAGGATCCATCCTCCCACAAGGGGGAAGCAGGGACTACTGTTTCCTTGCCACTATTTTCTCAGGGTTTAACACGATTCTTGACTACAACAGACACTCAACAACAATGAACAAACCAAGGGATGAAAGAGAATAGCAACATGATACAATGTGTTAAGTTAAAAAAAAAACAAAAAAAACAAAAAAAAGCTTTCTGGTAGCTGCATGGGAAATGAAAAGGAAGACAAAGACAAAACCAGAAGCAGGGAAATCAGGACTTCAAAGGGTAGAGAAGTTCTGGAAGAGCAAAAGAAGCATGAAGGGAGGAGTGGCCTGCTGGCTCAGTTAGTAGAGCATGCAACTCTTCATTTCAGGGCTATAAATTCAAGCCCCACTCTGGGTATAGAGATTACTTAAAAATAAAAAAATTTTCAGAAGTCTTTGGATCCCCAGGGTGGCTCAGTTGGTTAAGCGTCAGCTCAGGTCATAAACTCAGGGTCATAAGATCGAACCATTCGTCGGGATCCACACTGAGTAGGGAGTCTGCTTGAGATTCTCTCTCTCGCTTTCCCCCTCTGGCCCTCCTCCCTACAGGCTCTCTCAAAAAAAAAAACTTTTTTTAATTAAATAAAATCTTTAGAAAGGAAGGAAGCAAGCAAGCAAGCAAGCTGGAAGGGAGCTGACCAAGCTAGGAAGTAGATTTACCAGGCATCACCAAGCACCCTGCTCACTGTGGAAACCTGAACCCATAGTAGCCCCACCCAGCACAATTCTCTGAATTTTCTCAGCAGTCTACATGTCCAAACAGAGGCGATCAACAGATCAAGTATTCATTCAACAAACACTTAATCTATGCATACTATGTGCCAGGCATTCTATTATGCAAAGGGAACAGAGTATACACATGGTTCCTGCCCTAGCCCTAGCATAATTTACATTCTAGAATGGAAAGACCACAAACAAGTGAACAAGTTAAAGAATAGATTGTGACAAACATTCTAAAGCATGCAATTTACTATAAGAGAACTATTTTAGACAGTGTGGGGAGCTGACATTTAAACTGAGACATAAAGGATGAGGGGATTAGTTATAAAAAGAACTGGACAAAGAATATTCCCCAGTGGGGGCAGAAAACATAAAGACCCTCGGTCAAGAATGAGCTCCAGGGGCACCTGGCTGGCTCAGTCAGTAGAGCATACGACTCTTGATCTCAGGGCTCTGAATTCAAGCCCCAGGCTGGGTGTGGAGTTTATTTTTAAAATAATAATAATAAGAGTAATAATAAAATAAGTAAATTTCTTTATCAAAAAAAAAAAAAAGAATGAGTTCCAGAGTTGTAGGTCGATTGGCTCAAAAGAACAGGTGGAGAGGAGCCCAAGATGAGGCTAAAACAGTCAGCAAGGCCAGACTCAGAAAAGAAGGTTTGTACTCTATGTTGAGTGCGGTAGGAAGCCCCCAAGGGGTTTAAAACAGGGCACCACTGCAGCTGAGTCACACTTGCTACTGGATAGAGCATGAATTGGATGGGGCAAAAAACTTTAAGGAGCCTAGGAAGGAAAGTTTTACACGAATCTGAGGTAAAGAACAGATGAATTCAAGTTAAATTCTGGTGGTGTAACAGAATTCATGGGTGAACTGGGTGTGAAGCATGGGGTTTCACTAAAGCAGCTCTTAGCTCTCTCTCACTTTTATCAGTAGTGCTATTTACCAAGATCAGGAAGACTGGGATTTAGGCAAGAGCTCCACTTTTTTTCTTAAGATTTTATTTATTTATTTGAGAAAGAGCACAAGCAGGGAGAGGGAGGCAGAGAGAGAGGGAGAAGCAGACTCCCCACTGAGCAGGAGCCCAATGCGGGGTTCAATCCCAGGACCCTGAGATCATGACCTGAGCCGAAGGCAAACGCTTAATGGACTGAGCCACCCAGGCGCCCCAAGAGCTCTGTTTTAATGTATTAAATCTGAGATGCTTGCACAGAACATCTAAGTAGAATGTCAAAAGTGACTAGCTGGACACAGAAAATAAATTCAGAGAAAAGATCTGGGATGGAGTTACAAATCTGAGAGTTATCCTCATACATGTAATACTTAAAATCATGGAAATAAGTGAGACTGTCTAGGAGAGATATAGAAGATGGCCCAGGACCTACCCAGAGGAGCTCAACACACAGACTGGATAGCAGAGAAAAAGTAAGCAAATGACACGAGGAAAAAATCAGAGCAGGTAAACCTGTTCCAAAAAGAGGGAGTGGTCAGCCCAACAAATGCTGCTGGGCTGAATAAGGTCACATTTCTAGCGTCCCTTGGATTTGGCAGGATGGACGTCACTGTTGATAAACATGAGAGCAGTCCAGATGGGCTGCAGAGTGAAAGCGAAGTGCACAAATGGAGCAAACAGCTCATTACAAAGCCTAGACAAGGCTCTCAAGTACGAAGAAAGACTAAATGCTGACGAGGGGGAACAGGACAGTAGCCCGAAACTGGTTTGAAAATCCAAGGTAAAAAAAATCCCTCTTCACCCGTGATCCAGCTCTCTCAAATACCCAAACATGCATACAAATTCTAGTCTATTCTGCTACACTCGAGAGAAGTGCTAGTCACCACCCACTAAATCCATTTCACGGCTCACTAACCGGTAGCGACCTGTGATGACAACTCCAGGCTACTTTAATAAGAGGTAATTTCAAGAGGCAGAAGTGGAACTGGGGCGGGGGGGGGGGGGGGGGAACGAGCCTGAGAACGAGTTCGGCCAGAACGCGGACAGACACAGACGAGGAGGCGGGGCGCCGCCGCCCAGCAGCCCCCGGCCCGCCGCCCCGCCTCGCGGCCCCGCCCGCCCGCCCCGCGCCACTCCCCCGGGGCCGCACGCACCTCCTCTAGATACTCGCCCAGCTGGGCCGCCACGTCCACCTCCCAGTTCTTAGTGAGGTCGCGGATGGGCTGCAGCAGATGGGCGAAGCGCGCCTCCACGTCCTCCATGTCCGGGAGGGGCCGGGGCGGCCCGGGGACCGCAGGACCGTCTTCGAGGGGAGCCAGCGTCCTCAGCCCGCCACTAGTTCTGGCGCCATTTTGCTGTTCCCGCCCAGGGAAAGGACGTAGCACGCGACGCCGCGCGCACATCTATGACGCACGCGGCCACAGCCGGCGAGGACGCACCCCGGCGCCACGCGCCGCGCTGGAGGCGGGGCGGGGGCGGGGCCGGGGGCGGGGCAGGGCGGGGCAGGGCCGGGCGTCCCAGCGAGCGCGTCTGCAGCCCGCCGCGTAGCGGACATGGCGGGCTCCGAGGTCCCGCGGCAGCTTTTCCTTCAGGGCGTGGCCGCCGTCTTCACGTTCGCCTTCGCGTCCCTCTACATGCAGATTCCGGGTGAGGGCGCCGAGAGAGGGACGCCCCCTAGCCCGCGCCCTCTGTTCGCGCACGTCCCCTGACACTCCGCCGGGGGTGGGGGGCGGGGGTGGAGTGAGGACCAGGCCTCGGACCCCGGAGTAGCGGCTTCGGTTCGCGTCCTGCGGGCGGCGGGGGCTTGGGGAGAAAGGGGGGCGTGCTGTGGCCCGTTTCCCGTAGGTTCCGGGGTCTGACCTGGGGCCGGGGGAGAATCCTGAGCGGGGTGGGCCCAGACCTGGCAGGGCAGGTGGGAGAAAAGACAGTGAATGGGAAGAGGGGGGACCTCAGCTCCGCTGGGTGGGAGGCCCTGACCTGGGGAGTCTGGTAGGCCTCCTGGGGTCTGGTCCGGAAGGGGCTGGGGATCAGCGGGTTCGCACCTGCTTGGCCAGAGTCTGCAGGTCCTGCAAGTCTAGACCTCAGGAGGTGGGCCAGGCCCTGCCTGGTGGGGGAAGTCTAGCCTTGGAGGGCAGTGTCCAGGGCCCTGACGTGCCCTCCCACAGGCCTGTATGGTGCCGAGGGCATCCTGCCTGCACGGAGGACGCTGAGGCCACAGGGCAAGGGGCGCTGGCAGCAGCTGTGGGAGACCCCGACGCTGCTGTGGGAGGCTCCGCAACTGGGGCTGGACACCTCGCAGGGCCTGGAGCTGCTGAGTCTGCTGGGCGCCCTGCTAGCCCTGGGCGCGCTGCTTATGCGCAGGCTGCGCAACCTCTTCGTCTACCTGCTGCTCTGGGCTGCCTACCTGTCGGCCTGCCAGGCAAGTGGGGGCTGCCTGCTCCCCCCCACAGCACTGAGACCCATGTCACCAGTTCAGTCCAGCCCTGTCCACCCTGCACCTCGCCCCTGTCTCTGCCCTGCCTGCCTCCACAGACACACCCCCCCTGCTCCCTGACAACCCTTCTCCCTGCAGGTGGGCCAGGTGTTTCTTTATTTCCAGTGGTGAGTGACTTCTGGGTGAGGGGGTGCGGAGGGGAGGGGAGGGCCAGGGCGGAATATGTTTGCCTCTGCAGGGAGGACCCTCGGGGGGGAACAGCCTTGATGGGGAGGGCCCCTTGTGCTCTTCCTTCTCCCCATAGGGATTCCCTGCTGCTGGAGACTGGCTTCCTGGCGGCGCTGGTGGCCCCCCTGAGGCAGCCCCCCCATCATAAGCAGGCCCCCCAGGGCAGGCTGGTAGGGGCCTCGCCCCACGAAGGCCTCCCCTTCTGGCTCGTGCGCTGGCTGCTGTTTCGCCTCATGTTTGCCTCGGGTGTGGTCAAGCTGACCAGCCGTTGCCCCGCATGGTGGGGGCTTACTGGTGAGGGTCCCATCCTGAATGTGGGGCAGCGTTGGGGGTTCTGCCTCACACTGACCACCCACTTACCATTTGCAGCCCTCACCTACCACTATGAAACACAGTGCCTGCCCACACCTGCCTCCTGGTTCGCCCACCACCTGCCGGTCTGGCTGCAGAAACTCTCCGTGGTGGCCACGTTCCTCATCGAGATCGCAGTGCCCCCTCTGTTCTTCGCCCCTGTTCGCCGCCTGCGTTTGGCGGCTTTCTACTCCCAGGTGGGTAGGGACCTCAGCCATCAGGAAGATAGGACAGGGCATTTCAGCACTGCCCAGTGGGTCCCATTGGGATGGAGGGGCTGCTGCAGGCAGTCAGGAAGGCCTCATGAGCGGAGGCATGAGTTGACTCAGGATGTGAAGGCAAGCCTGTGGGGCAGGGCTGCGGCCTCACTGGAAGATGTCAGTCAGGTTAGCCGAGGCAGGTGGGGAAGGGCTGCACGAGACATGCCGAGCTTCAGTTTGCTCCAGGTGATAGGGAGCCATGGAAGGTGGGAGCAGGGGTAGAGGACAGTTGGTGTGGGAGCGTAACAGGCCAGGCGGTGATGAGAAGGGGTGGGTTGCCTGTAGGGGAGACCCAGGCATGGGGTGCGGAGGGGCCAGGAAGGCAGTGGACCTCAGGAGCTCTCAGTGTAGGCTCTCCTCTAGGTTTTGTTGCAAGTCCTGATTATCATCACCGGCAACTATAACTTCTTCAACCTGCTCACTCTGGTGCTCACCACTGCTCTTCTGGATGATGGGCACCTGACTGCTGAGTCTGGCAACAGCCACTGCAAAAAGAGACCCACTTGTGAGTGTCAGCTTGCCCCAGATAGCCAAGTATGGTCAGCCCAACGGTCCACTAGCAAGTTTCCTTCCCTCCAACACCCCCCAAGTGAGCCCTGCTCTAGTTCCACCCCAGCCAACCTGTGACTCTCGTGCTCGGCAGCCTGGCCTAGGGCACTGCTGTCTCTGCTGTCTCTGCTGTTGGAATTTACCATCTATGGGTTGCTGGCCTACGGCACCGTGCACTGCTTCGGCCTGGAAGTTGACTGGGAGCAGCATGCTGTCCACTCCAGAACCAGTGAGTGCCAGCTGGGGGGCCAGAGGATAGAGGCTGGACCACCCCTCCTCACACCCCTGTTGTTCTGCAGCCTTTACCTTCCACCAGTTTACCCAGTGGCTAAAGATGGTGACCCTGCCCACCATGTGGCTGGGGGTTGCCTCCCTCACCTGGGAACTGCTGAATGCTCTCTGGAGGTATGTGGTCCAAGGGGGTGGGGTAGAGCTGTGCAGGGCAGGCCTGACAGCACTTGGGTCCCCCGCCCCCCAGGTGGACCCAGGTGCGAGGGTGGCTGAGGAAGCTCTGCACTGCAGTCCAGCTGTTCATCTTTGGCACTGCCACGGTGGCCTTGTTTGTGATCAGCCTGGTGGGTAGCACTTGGGGAGGAGGGTGGGGGCTGGAGGGACAGCACTGAGCTTCTGCCCACCTGCCTCCAGGTGCCATACTCCTATATCGAGCCCTCGAGCCATGGGCATCTCTGGACCGGGGCACACCGCCTCTTTGGTGCCGTAGAGCACCTGCAGCTGGCTAACTCCTACGGCCTCTTCCGCCGGATGACTGGTCTGGGCGGGCGGCCCGAAGTGGTGCTGGAGGGCAGCTATGATGGGCAACATTGGACGGTAGACATTCCCGCGGGCTATGCAGGGAAGTGGGGAGGGGCCCCTCCAGTCCAGCGGGTAGTGCTGACGTGCTCTGCCGGGCAGGAGATCGAGTTCATGTACAAGCCCGGGAATGTGAGTCGGCCGCCCCCTGTCGTGGTGCCCCACCAGCCCCGCCTTGATTGGCAGATGTGGTTCGCAGCCCTGGGCCCACACTCTCACAGCCCCTGGTTCACGAGCCTGGTCCTGCGCCTGCTGCAGGGCAAGGACCCTGGTGAGGCCCGGTGGGGATTTGGAGGGGGGTGGCTGATGGGACAGTGGGAGGGTCTGTGGGAAGGGTCGGATCTAGGGGAAACAGGGTGTGTGGGAAGGGGAGGTTGGGGCTGAGAGAGCACTGGCTGTGCTGAGCCCCGCTCCCTTGCAGTGATCCGCCTCATCCAGAACGATGTGGCTAGGTACCCCTTCCACAAGCAGCCGCCCACCTACGTGCGGGCCCAGCGCTACAAGTACTGGTTCTCACATCCTGGGGAGCAGAGGTAAGGCCAGGGTGCCAGGTGGGGTGCTGGGGTCTGGGCTCAGGCACCCCCTGAACACCCTGCCCTGTTGCAGCCAGTGGTGGCGACGCCAGTGGGTGGAAGAATTCTTCCCGCCAGTGTCCTTGGGGGACCCAACGCTGGACATGCTGCTCAGACAGTTTGGCCTCCAGGTGGGAAGGTGTTAGGGAGGGGGAAGTGGCAGGGGTGACCCTCCCCCGCAGGGGTGGTCCTTGTGACCTCCCTCAATCCTGCACCCACAGGACAGGAGCCCGCCCCGAGCCCTCAGCTCTGGCAACAGCCTGGCCCAGGCCCTCCGCTGGATACGGAAACAGCTGTCTCCCCTGGAGGCTTCCACCTTGCTCTGGGGGCTCCTCGCTGCAGTGGGGGCCATTAGGGTCATGCAGGCCCTGCTGGGGCCCCATCCCCCCCACTCCTCTCCTCTGGCCAAGGAGAAGCACAAGCCAGCCCCCAAGAAGAACTCTGGAGCTGCCAGCAAACAGCCCACCCCAGCCCCTGACAACTGCAGCAGCAGCTCCCATACTCCCAGGAGGAAAAAGTAGCTGCATTGTCAGCCCCGTGTCCAAAGAGGATCAGGTGCCCACACATTTCTGTCCTCTGAGGCAGGACACAATCCAGCCAGCGTGCCTTAGCCGACTGCCACGACAGATGCAGGTTGGGGTGCTGTCCTCTAGGGTAGGCTTTGGCCCTCCTGCTGCTTGGAGGGCCCACTCACCCCAAGACACATGCCAACCATGTCCCTCCCCAGCATACCCCCTGGTCTTGATCCACAAGGCAGGCATATGACCCAGCTCAGGGTCTTTCCCAGGACTTTGTAAACAGGGCTGTGGGAAGCCCTTTCCCTCTGTAAGGAGCCAAGTCTGATGCCCCAACCCTCGCCCCTGCACAAGAGGGGGTGAGGCGGACCTGCTGAGGAAGCGAGGGAGAGGGAGGCAAGATCCTGGGACCTAGGAACCAATAAAGGTGCCTCTGTGCTTGATCTCGTGTCTGATGTTTCCTCCTTCCCACTTTGCAGGCCTGAGGACAGTGGGCCTTCCCTGCCTCTGGCAGGGGACGCGGCGTGGATGCTGTCCCGCTGATAGGTGACCTGGCTTCTGGGATGCCTTCATTCTCCCCTCCTCAACCTTACCCCTATAAAATAGACGTAAGGGCGTGGTCCAGCACAGCCTGGCCG